GTTGAGGAAACTGAGGTAGGGAAACTGGGTAACTTTCCCAAAGTCACGGAGCTCTGAAGTAGCCGAGTCGGGATTCGAACCCGGGGCGCTGACCGAGGCCGTCCGGTTGGGTTGTTGTGAGGTCTCAAGTGACTGACTCCCGGCAAGGGCCCCCATGGGACGCAGGAGGCTGTGAAAGGAGGGGGGGCTCTCCAGGGAAAGAGGAAGGTGGCCCTCGGGCTGGTTTCGACGCTGTCCTTGTGTGTCCGGAGCGGGAGCATGGAGCAGGGGCGGAGCCCAAGGCCATGTTCACTGCCGCCGGGCTCACGGCCGCACCCCAGCAACTGCCCCGACGGCTCTTCTCTGGGCTCTGCGGCCTCATCCTGCTGGCGGGGCTGCTGGCCAACGGGCTGATGCTGCTGGTGGCGGCCCGGGGCTCAGGTGCCTCCTGGCCACTCCGCGCCCTGACCACCAGCCTCATGGTGAACATCACGCTGTCCGACCTGCTCTTCCTGGCCTGCGTGGTACCCGTGCTGCCGCTGAGCTTCCTGCGGCCCGACGGGTGGCTGAGCCCTGTCATCCGCACCACCAGCCGGGCCACCAACAGCACCACCACGTTCTGCACCTTCTACAGCATGGTGGCCACGGCTTTTCTGCGCCACGTGGCCGTGGCCCGGCTGATGTGGCCCTCCCGGCTGGCTGGGGCGCCGCCTGCTGCTCTGTGTGGCCATGTGGGTCCTGGGTCTTGCTGCGTCGTTGCCCACCTGGCTGTTCCAAAGCGTGGTGGTGCAGGAGGGGGCAGCAGGAGGCTGGGCCTGCCTCTTGCGTCCAAGCCCAGCCCAGACTTCCCGCTCCTTCACCCTGCTGGGAGCCTGGCCTTCCCGCCTTGTATGTGCGGGCTGCGCTGCTCTTTCAGCCATGTGGGCTGGCTCATGTGGACACAGCCTCGTGGCCCCAGGGGGGAGAGCCTCCAGGAGCACCAGGAAAACACAGGGCTCATCCTTGTGGTGCTGGTGGTCTTTGTGCTGATGTGGGGGCCCTGCTCCGTGCTGGGCTATGTGGCAGCCGTGGGTGGCCTGCCTGCCACGCTGGTGGCTTTCATGGCATCCAGCCTCTGCACCATCCTGGCCTACTCCAATTGTGCCGTCAGCCCCATCCTCTGCTTACTCTTACTATTATCATCATCTTATTTTTATTAATTCAGGAGCATTTGAGGTGAGGGGATAAGAGGTCGGTAAAGGGATTCCAAAGGCAGAGAAGTGGGTAAAGGAATGACCCAGAGAATGACAGCCCAGGTCCTTAATCCTGAAGGACTGGGGAGCGAATGGGGGTGAGGGGAGGAGACAGCTGCAGCTGGGGTGGGGGCCCAGAGGCCAGGAGAGCCTTTCAGACACCTCTGCCTTCTTTGCCTGCCCTCCCCTAGCTGGGTCACACACACACCTCTCAGCCCAACAAAGGAACACAAAGTCAACCTTGGAGCTGTGAATTTCTGAACGCCCTCCTTCTCTGTGGTTTCTCTTCCCAGTGTGGCACGCCCCTTCCTTCTTTCCTGAGCAACTGAAGGTCTCCACCTCTCCTACCCCATCTCCTCTGAGAAGTTCCCAAACTCCAGGCCCTCCCTCTGGCCTCCTGGGAACAGGCCTCAGAATCTGTGTTAGTCTGGGAACCAGGGAGATTGTCTTTACTTAAAGTCCCAAGACAACATGTTCTGCTTGGTAACAGTGTTACAGCTAAACACACACACACACACACACACACACTCTCTCTCTCTCTCTCTCTCTCTCTCTCTCTGTCCCCATGGTCAAAACCGGTCTCTTTGCTGCAGGACTTACAGAGCCTTGAATACCCTAAAGGCCATTGGGGTTCTCTGAGACGGGCTCGGAGTAGGCAGTTTCCCAAAATCCATGTGAGAGAACCAGTGTTCTGTGGAACACACCTTGAGAAATAAGCCAGGAGAGAAGCCACAGTGTCAAGCACAGTAAAGATGCACTCGGCAGCGTCTCTGAGACTTGATTCCCCTGCCAGGTGGGCATCTCCTCTCAACGCTTTCCCACAGGTGCCCAAGGTGAGGCAAAATGGGTTATTGGTTCTGGGAACTTTCCTCTTCCCAAGCTATGACCCCACCCGGTTGTCACTCAAAGTGTATCAGAATGCAAGTCAGAGGGGTATCTAATTGTAGGGACAGCCATGAATCAGCTCTAATTTACCATAAAATCATAAGAAGTAAATAAGTCCCAAACTTTGGTATAATTAGTACCAAATTTCTTGTGATGTGCAGATTGGGAATGGCTGGCTGGAGGGCTAATCTGACCGTGAGCTTGCCCAGAGGAGGGAGAAGTCCCCTTTCCCTGTGATCCTGGGCTCTAATGGCCACAGCAACTTATATATGAAGAGGGGCCAGGAGGAGAGAGGTGGTGTTTATTGTGCTCAAGTGCCTCCCATCTGTGCACGTCACACACTTCACGTGGGCATATCTCTAGGCCCCGCAGTCTGTCCACACACTAACCCTGCAAGGAAAGAGGAATGGTCCCATCGAACGCAGAAGCAGGAGCTCATCCCGGGCGCATGGCCTGTGAGTCGTCCAGGCTGTGCCAGGAGCGCCCCTTTGGTGCCCACAGACCCTGGCCCCTCCCACGGGCTTGGCATCGGTAGCCCAGGGTGGGAGGATTTCCTTGCTCACTGCTCCAAAGTAGGGGTCACTCTCAGAGGGTGCAACCGTGTGTGAATCAGTGTCTTCAAACCTGAGCAGGGCCTGGCACTGGTGCTCGGTAAATACTTGTGGAGCGATGAGTCAATGAGTGATCAAATGCAATAAAGTGACCTACTTGTTTTCGAGAATAATCTGATCATGTTAATCACCTCTCTCACCTCCTAGCTGGCTCCGTTTCACTCAGAGTAATGCTGAAGCCCTTACCATGGCCTACAAGGCTCTATGCATTCTGGATTCTTCACCTCCCTAATCTCATCTCCTGAACTATCCCCCCACCTCGCCCCTCTTAACACAGCTCCAACAGCACAAGCCTCCCTGCTGTCCTTGCCATGAAGTATGCTCCTACCTCAGGGCCTTTGCACTCACTGTTCCTTCTACTTGGAGCCCTCCTGCCCTGGATACCAGCATGCCTCCTTCTCTCATTTCCTTAGGGCTCATCTCAACCTTCGCCTCCTGAGAGAGGCCCTCCGTGACCACCTCATCTAAAATGCCACCCTGTCCCTCTCCAGCCCCTTCTTCTCTGTTATTTGTCTTTGTAACTCTTACCACCACCTGAAATTAGGTTATCTACCTATGTGTTTATGTGCTTACTGGGTTTTACCCTGTCTTATTTGTGTGTCTGTTGTAAGCTCTGTGTGGAGACAGGGCCTGCGTTTTGTTCATTGCTGCATCCCAAGTCACCAGCACAGGCCCTGGTACATTGTAGTTGCTCAGGAAATCCTTATCGAACAAAAGAATGGGAGATAGAGCGAGGAGAACCCGGACCCTGTCAAACAGCAACACATTTGCTATTTTCCACAGGAGAAAGGAAAACAAGGAACTTTACTAAAAGAACCAAGTTTACTTCAGTTTTAAGGCAAATTCCACACAGAGACTGCCTCAGAGACGGGCATAGGACCAGACAGCGTAGAAACACCACCATCATGCATGACAGGAAGGGAAGTGGTGTGGGGCAGCGGACAGAGGGGGCCTGGTGTCCACCCAGGCCTGGGATGTGGAGCGGGCTGAGGAGTCCCATGCTGCGGGAGGGGCTGACATGCACGACTTGCTCCCTGTGTGGGTATAGGCTGGGCAGCTCGGTGGGCCCGGGGGTGAGATCACCCTTCTCACCTTCCCCACAGCAGAGGCAGGGGCTTAGGCTCAGACACCAGAGCCCAAGGCTGAAGGACTAGGGTGGACTTGAGGTGACAGGATGGAACAGGGTGACCTTAAGGGCCAAGACGGCCTGGAGTAAGCGGTCGCACTGCTGAGGAGTGGGATGGGGGAAGCTGGGCATGGCATGAATGGACTCTCAGGACACCAGAGCCGAAGGTAAACCTGGGACCATCTGGTCAACCCTCTTGCCCTACTTCTGAGTCCCAGAAGGCAGAAGGGCCTTCCTTGGGTTCTCACAGGCAGGGGCTGTATGCAGGACTCGAACTCAGAACTCCTATCTCTGCGGGAGAGAGGGGCAGTGTGTTCCAAGGCCTCCAGGGGGGCAGCAGAGGACTGGGCTCCAAGGGCCCCGGGCCGCCTTGGCAAGAGAAGGGGATGCCTGGAGCCAGGAGTCAACCGTAAGGTGCCTGTGGGCCCACACCACAGAGAGGCCTGTGGATCTGTGTATCTAAAACCAGTGTCATTCTGGGCCTGAGAGGCACCAGAAAGGACTCTGTGCCTGAAAAGCCCCCATTCCTAGCCCATCATGTGGCCTACGGCCTCCCATCACACAGCCTCCCCTTCATGGGTCCGCTGGGCACCCGTGGCATGCAAGTGTCCTGGGAGGGGCCACGTGTTCGGGCATCCCTGCAGACCCATCAGCCTCACAAGGTTCACTAGAAATAGGGATGGGGGAGATACTGGGGGCGGGGGCGGGGGGGAAGGGGCCAGGGGCCAGGTGTAGGAGCAGACTGCACAGGAGGAGGAGAGCGCCTAGGGCCCCGGAGGAGAGAGGCCCAGCTCAGGCTTCAGGGCCACAGAGGAGCAGATGGGAATGCCCAGGTGGGCTGAGGGGGACCCCAAGCCTCCTGATCATTAACCCTTTCCTGGCTGGGCTAAAACCAGGTGTCACGGGGACATGAGAAGGGCAGGGGCCCGGAACCTCATCTCCACCACCCACACCCTCCAATTCCCCAGGTTTGGGCCCTGAGGCCAGGAAATGAGAGAGGAGTCTTCAGAGGCCCCGTCCCCCCGCTGGCCTCCCAGGCACACACAAAAGGCACACACAAAGGCTAGGCATGGCATATTTTAAGGGGGGCTGGGGACCCCAGCTGTGCTTCCACTGCCCCACCCAGGGAGCCGCCTGCCACAGGCCAGGGGCCTTCAGGAAGAGTGCTCAGATGTGTGTGTGCAGTGGGGAGGCAGGGGGGGTGCGGGCTGGGGACCGTGGGGGTGAGGGCTCTGGGGCCGCAGGTGGGGGGCGCGGACGGATGCCCTGTGCCTTCATGTAGGACACCAGCTGGTCAGGGATCTCGGCCAGCACATCGCGGGCCAGGCGTGCCATGCTCAGCACGTGGTTGCCCGTGCGGTCCACGTAGTCCCTGAAGGGCACGAACTGGCCAGAGGAAAGGCACGGTCAGGCCGGGTCTCTGGCTGGACGCCAGTCCTCCCCCCCCACCCCCGTCTCCAGCCTCGGGACCCTGTCCCACGCCTCCCCAGCCTCTGCCCTCTCCACTCAGCCCCTCCGCCTGCTGGTGAATACTGAGGGGCTGTTCTCTCATTGACTCAACAGATACTTATGGATCACCTATCCCATGCCAGGATGCACCCCTGAACAGGAGCCCTTAAGCTCTGAAGTCTTGGCACCAAGCACAGGGACTCAGCCAGCGCTTGGAAAATGCTGGATGAACCCCCTGGCTTCTGGGAAACCGGACTTCCCATCTCCCCCAACCTCTCTGTCTCCTTTGCTCTGCTTCTCCTCCTCCGTCTCTGGGCCAAAACCTAAAGTCGGGCCCCTCTGTCTTCCTCCCAGGGGCTGACCCCCCAACCCCTTGAGTGCCTCAGGTTACTCTTGCCTCCAGGCCTTTCCATACATGGGTCCCCCCTCCCAGACTGCCCCTGCTCTGGGGTCTAGCCTCCTAACTTTGGTCTCCAAACTTGGAATGACCCCTCCCCCACCGCCATTGTTTTAACCCAGGGGGTCTGGAGGATGCCAGTCTTTATTTCCAATCTCCTGAACACTGCAGGAGGCTCAGAGACAGGAGTGCTTACTAAGGTGCATTCTGAGACTTGATTGGGCAGGGACGCCCTGAGGACCAAGACCTGTCAGCTCACTACACGTGCTATCCTACACGAGATGTTAAGACACAGATACAATGAACCAGGCAATGCCCGTCCCTGGAGAGGGTTATGGCAATAAAGACGCCTCCTCCACCTCCAGGGGGTTTGCCGTCTCACTGGGAAGGCAGCCCCACAGAAGACACTGGAAAGTGCAAGTATTGGGGCATAAGTGCTCTGCAGGAGACCATGGAGGCGTGGTGGCTCAGGGAGATCTTGGCAGAGCATTCTGGTCAGGGCAACAACATTGGGGGGAGAGTCTCAGACATGGTAGGGAGGGGTTCAACTGGGGGGAGAAGTGTGACCCAAGGACTGATTCCTGTTCCCTTCTTTGGTGGCCAGGTCACTCTGGGGCTCCCTCCAAGGCCCCTTTCCAGAGAAGTCTCTAAAAGGGGGTATGAGGTCAGCCTGGCTAGAGGGGCTCCAGCATTTTCCTTGGGGCAGGCAGGATTTGGGCTTCACCTGGACAATGTCCCGCTCTGCCAGCTTCCCCCGTGAGGAGATCCGCACGTCATCACCATCCAGCTCCACCATGGCTGTGTGAGGAGAGGCATGGGGGTGGGCCGAATTAATGGTGGGCATCTGGGCCTGGCAGGACAGTGGGCTTGTCCTCTAATCCCGGGCCAATCCAGGACAGAGACTGTCAGACCAGACCCCCATGTTAGAGATGAGGAGACTGAGGCCAGGAGACAGGAGGAGCCCAACATGGTGAGTCTCTGACTTCTAGCCCTGTGCTCCAGCTCCCCCACCCTCCACAGGCTCCAAGGGTTGGAGGAGGGAGGAAGGACAGGCCTCCTCTCCACAGCCTTGGGGTATGGGTATGGGTGCACACCCTGACACACCCTTCCCTGTGCAAACAAACACACCCTTACACCCTGCCTGCTCACCCAGATGGTCACACCCACCCACGAGCTCTCACTCTTTGGGGAAGGGTCATTCCCAAGGGCCTGACGCCTCTGGGGAAACATCTGGGGGATGGGGACTTACCGTCGAACTCTGCCTGGCCCACGCCGATGATGATGATGGACATGGGGAGTTTGGCAGCCTGGGAGATCAGGGGTAGGGACAGAAAGGGGTGGGTCAATGGAAGAAAGAGAAGAAATGGAAGACAGAAGGATGGAGACACACAGAGAAACACAGGAAAGGGGAGAGGGGGAGGGGCACGGACCAAGGGAAACAGCCCGAGAGAGGAAGAGAGGGTCAGGAGGGGGAAATGGGTCACAGGTCTGCTTCTCTGAGACAACCCCATCCCCTCTCTGTCCCTGGGCCTCCATCAAGGGGGACACATTTTATGTGGGCATCCAGAAGTGCGAGCTGGGGCTGGAGCCCGTTATACAGGGAGACCATCCAGTAGGGGGAGCCAAGTTCCTGGGCCTCCCCAACTCTGGGCTCCTACTTCGCCCGGCCAGACTGGGCTTGGGTCTGGGGCAGTGGTCCTAGAGATGGGTTAATGAGGGGGCCACAGGCGTCAGGAGGGAGTAGACCACCCAGGGTGGGTACAGAGCTCATCAGTGGGACCCCTACACCCCCCAAACCCCACTGTCCAGGAAGCCTCGTCCCAAGGGCTTCTCTAAAGAAGTGGGAAGGCATGCCCCCCACCCCCAGCTCACATTGACAATAGCCTCCTTGGTCTGTGCCATGTCCGAGATGACCCCATCTGTGATGATGAGCAGCACCGAGTACTGGGAGCCATCCTGCACTGCGGCCGCGGTCCTGGGGGAGGAGGCGGGGGCTGTAGTCTGTCTGGCCTGCTCTGCACCCCTCCCCGCCCCCACAAACACTTTGGGGAGGGGGACAACTCTTTGGCTGGAGGGGTATCTCTTTAGGGTCAGGGCTCCCTGAAAGGCGAGTCAATGGAAGAGACGCACCCCAACCCCACCTTCCCGAGAGGACAGGCGTGGACGGGAACGCTGTGTGAGCCACTGGGATGGGCGTGTAGTGGCCCCGGCACTCACCTGGCCACATGGGTGACCACAGGGGCGAAGTTGGTGGGGCCATAGAGCTGCACGGTGCGCAGGCTGTGGTGGTAGGCCTCGAGGATGCCATCGATGCCACAGCAGGAGGGGTTCTCCTGGTTGCCATTCTGGGGGCACCGAGGATAGGGAGGCAGAGCCCAGTAAGGAGGGAGGAGGCGGAGGGAGGGCAGCTGGGGGCTCTGCGGGGGGGCGGGGGGGGCAGCCAGTGTGGGGAAGGCCACAGGCCTGGGATCTCTTCGACTCTTCTCTGGTGGGGGGTAGGAGCAGGGGAGGGAGTCCCCCGGGCAGCTCATGCTCTGGGTGAGCAGGGCCAAAACCTGCTCCTTGCCCCACTCTCTGGACCTGCTCGGACAGGCCCCCTGAAAGGCCTGGCTGCTTCCCTCAGGGAACCTTGGGCAAACCACCACAGCCTCAAATGACTGCCGGGTCGGAGCAGCTCTGGAATGACTAGCGGTTGATCCGTCCTCCTGTGTCTGGTGCCCAGCATCGTGCCTGGCACAACGGAGTGCCCCCAGCTTGTGGGAGGGAGGAAGAGGAGGTGGCACTTCCACAGGGCCCCCGTCTCAGCACCAACTCAGGATGCTCCTGGGATTACTGGCAGTTGCCTAGTCCCAGCGCACGCCCCTTTACCCTTATTTCTGGGGCCTTGGGGTGGAGGGGTAGTTCAACCACGTCTCCACTCCACCTCTCCTGGGTCTTGTCAGGAAAAGGACGCCAGAGCCCACTGTGGGTGGCATCAGACATGGAGCGGAGGTGCTGGTGAGCAAGGTGGGGAGTGGGCTTCTGGAGGCCCTGATATAAGCCCCCCCCCCAAAAAAACACAGCAGGCAGCCTATCCACCCTGCCCTCAAAGGCTGCACCATCTGTCCCGGGGCAGAGAGGATGGGAAATGCCCTGGACCCTGGGCTTGTCACCACGCCCCAAGCCTGGTCAGCCCTCAGCCCGCGCTCCCAGGACCTCCTACCAGCGGGAACTCATGGGACACCCTTCCGTCAGGGGGCAGCTTGGCCCCGAAGCCAAGGGCGGGAAACATCTTGTCACTGTCGTAGTGCTGGATGATCTCCCCGACGGCAGTCAGCGCCAGCGCATAGGCGTTCAGCTGGTAGGGGCTCATGTAGTGCAGGGACGTGGACTGCGACGGGTTCCCTGTGACATGGGACACGGGAACATTTGCTGGTCTCCACACTCCAAGCACTGCAGGCTCAGAATGCAGAAGGGGGTACTGGAGGGCACCCCTAACTTCCTTTATCCTTGATTCCTTTCTCTCTTGCCACACCTTCAATCCTTCAGTAAATCCTGGTTGCTAAACCTTCAAAATATATGCAGCAGCTCCCCTCCTTCTCCCCTCCTCTGTGACAGCCCCCTCCCCTTGCCTGCAGGAAAGCAGCAACCCAGACCATCACTCGGCTTCCACCCTTGTGCCTAGAGTCTGGCCAGAGGAGCCTGTCAAACCTCAGGCAGCTAGGCCATGCCTCTTCTCTGCTCCAAAGGCTCCCATTTCCCCCCGGAACCAAACCCACAGTCCTTATGCGGGGAGCGGGGGAGGTGCGGGCCCCACGGGGTCTGGCCTCCAGTGACCTCCCTCCTTGCCGCTTGCCATCCCCTCCCCTCACTCACTCAGGTCTGGCCCCCTTGCCATCCCCACCTCAGGGCCTCCGCAGTGGCATATCCCTCTGCTCTGGGACACTTTACCGCAGAGGTACACGTGGCTTGCTCCCTCTACTCAAGTGTCCCCTTCCTGGTGTGGTCTTCCCTGAGCGGCCTCCTGAAAATCACAGCCTCCCCCAAAACTCCCTATCCCTCTTGCTAGCTTAAGGTCCCCCCCACCTCCGTAGCCCTCGTCACGACTGGCAATTGCCCATATTTTACTTATTGAATCATCAAGGGCATTACGTCACAGACTGCCAACGATAAGATGCTGTCTCTACCTGCTACCAGCTGTATGCTCTTCCATAGCTCCCTACCTCTCAGCCTCAGTTTCTCATGTGTGGAGTGGGGGTAACGGTCCCACCTCATGGGATTGTTGTGAGGATGGAGCAGGTGGGATTCTTACAACTCCCCTCCCAGCTCTGAATCCTACCACTCTAGGACTCTGGGGCCCAAACCGGGGAGGAGTCCCAAACCGGGGCTGCTCCGACAGGCATGGGAGTGAGCACGAAGCACTGCTAATGGGGGTCTAGACTCCAAGGGAGGTGGTGACTTTTCTAACAGTGTAAAATTGGGCACTGGTCGCTCGTGGTGACTCAGGCAGCCCACCCTGGAGAAGGCCAGCGATGGGAAGGAAGCTGGGGCAGCCCCAGCAAGGCTGGGAACTGGGGTTCCTGCCTTCACTGAGGACCAAAGAGCTCCCCTCCGGCCTGGGGGTTGGGCTGCACAGAGGACGTGAGATTTGATCCCGTGAGGAAACATCTTTTCTCCAGTGCTCTCCATGGGCCCAGAGCCCAGATTTGTTAGTGACCACGGTCCAGTCTGGGGATACCTTCACCATCTTGGTTATCCCTTTGGGTCTCCAAGCCTAAGTACCTCCTTTTCAGTGAAGATGAGGCCGAAGAATATGGGAGAGCTGGTTCCCAGCTAGGGCCAACTATCACAGTTTTGAAAAGCCCTCCCCTTTCCAGCCCCCAGCCCCACTCCAGCTCCTCTGCCCACCGCCCCCCCCACTCACCATTGGAGGCCGTGAAATCGATGGCCACTGTGAAGTTGATCTGGGTCCTGGAAGAGGAAGAGCACCAGGGGAGTTACCTGGACAGGGAAAAATCTGGCCTCCACCCCAGCCCCACAGCTTGCCAGACACGTGGCCTTGGTAAAGTCACTCATCTTCTTCCAGTTCTGGAAAACGGGGATAGTCATGCCAGCCACGGCCTCCCCACAAAGGATTGTTGTGAGCATAAGAGGTAGGCAGTGTGAAAGCTCTCTGAAGGGACTGTGTTCTGTGTGGACACATGGTGACAATTACTTCTTTCCTCCCCAAACCCTGCCCCTGGGCCCACCTGAGTCCAGTGGAGTAGGGTCTCACTGTGTTTCTTGCTCAAATTCAGTGTCAGAGGCAGGGTTAATGCTGCCTCTGGGTTTGACAAAAAAGAGAGCCAAAGAGATATTGTGTATCTCTGAGGAAGAACAAAACATCACCCATGATACTGCCTTGCCAAAAACTTGAACCTGAATCCAACTGAGCTTTCTGAGCTATCTCCCAGTTGTTTACAGGATACACAGGGGACAGAGGAACATGTTCAATGACAGCTGGGGAATGCAGCCAGTAAAAGCCAGTCTGGGGGAACCTGTGAGAAGTGCAGGCCCCCCGCAGATCTCGTGCATCAGAATCCCTTGGTGGGGAGCAGGACTCTGTTTTAGCAAGCCCTCACAAGCTTCGGAGGAATCAACAGATGAAAAGAGAATTAAGGGACAAACCGATCAGTCGCAATATATGGATCTTGCCCGATTCCTGATTCAAATAAGCCAATTAAACAACTTTACAAGACAACTGGGGGAACTGGAACACTGACTAGATATTTGGTGTCAAAGAACTATTCCATGTTCAGGTATAATTACAGTATTGTGGTTATATTTTACAAAGAGAAAGTCCTTCTATTTTAGAGCTATATCCTGAAGTATTGGGGGGATAAAATATGATGTCTGTGATTTGCTTCAAAACAATTGGATGAAAGAGAGCATGCATGGAACAAGACTGGCCAGGAGTTGGTTAACTGTTAATTCTGGGTGAAGGGTGCCTGGGGGTTCATTATACCTTCTACTTCTGCATGTATTCAGAATTTTTCCACAACGAAAAGTTTGGTTTTGAGGATTCAGATTCAGGGTTGAAGCTTTCTGAGGGTTTGCTGCTCTAGTTCTGTGCTAGATGCTGACAGAACAAAGCTGACAAGACAGGAGCCCCCGATAAAGTCTAGTCTTGTGGTCCCCATTCTGCAGTGACCAGAGAGTCACTAGGGGAGCTTGTTTAAAAAGAAGATCCCAGGGCGCCTGGGTGGCTCAGTTGGTTAAGCGACTGCCTTCGGCTCAGGTCATGATCCTGGAGTCCCGGGATCGAGTCCTGCATCGGGCTCCCTGCTCAGCAGGGAGTCTGCTTCTCCCTCTGACCCTCTTCCCTCTCGTGCTCTCTATCTCCCATTCTCTCTCTCTCAAATAAATAAAATCTTTAAAAAAAAAAAAAAGAAGATCCCAGGGCCCCACTCCCAAGGATGCCAGTTCGGTCGGTCTGAGATGGGGCCCCAGAATCTGCTTCTTCAACAGACATTCCCCGGCCTCATCCAGAGATGGATTCTGAGGAGGGGGTTCTGGGATCACACTGTGGGGACACTCTGTTCTGGTGGTTCTTAGTTGGCATGATGTAAGATCAGCCACAGCCCTCTCTCCACCTAACCACAGATGAGCTGCTACTCATGGAACCATTGCCCCTAGGAAGGGTGAAGGACATGGTGAGCAGGAGACCCAAGGCAGGGTCTGCTGGCCAGAGACGGTCCGGCCCACGCTCTTTCCCTTTGTATGCTGCCTGGGGGCAGAGCATCCAGCAGACTCCAACCTCTGAGGGAGACGGAGAAACAAGATGGCAAGAGCCTGGGTCCCTAACTGACTGTGTGGAGCATCTCCCCACCCATCCCTGCCACCCCATGGATGAAAAATAAGCCTTTGTCCGTAGTAAGCCTTGAGGTCACAGGATTATTTGTTACAGCAGTTGACCTACCCTATTCAACTGCTGTTTGTTGTCATCTCTCACTGGGGAATAGAGAGATCATGTCTTCTCCATAGGGAAAGAGCTCTGCTCCCAGGGCCACCATCGGGAGGGTGGTTCTGGCCTGTGGGACCACAGTTGAGGGACACCACCGGCCGGGCTCTTCCGATTCAGGGTGAAGGAAGGGGCAAGCCTTACTCCATAACTGGTCTCCCCCTGCTCTGGGTTCTGAAATGACTTGGGGTAGGAAGGGGCTGGAAAGCAGGTTCTTTTGTGGGACAGCTACTCCCTGCAGGCTCGCCCCTCCTGCCTCAGGGCAGAGCAGGGCAGAACGCTGGCTGCTGAGCACCAAGCTCCATCTCTGACCTGGGGCCAGAGCCGAGGTGGCCGTTTGCACTCTCCGGGGCCAGGTGGGCAGGGGAGGGAAGCCAGGGAGGAGAGGATCCCGAGACAAATGCCTCCATCAGCTGCCTGTCTGGACACGCAGGCCTGAGCGAGCTCTCACTCCCTGGAGCCGGCTCCCTCACTCAGGTCTCCGGGGCGAGGACAAGGAGGAGGGGGGTGGGGGGGGCGGGCCACGGCTGGCGCCAGCGTTTTACCTTGCCCGGTACTTGCGGCGCCAGCTTTGCGCAGAAGGCCGGCCTCTGAGGGCTCCTTCTCTATGAGACATCACAGCACCCAGCCCTTCCACCCGGCTCTGCCTGCCTGCCTCACACCCCACCTGGGAGCTGTGAGGCAGGCAGGGCCCAGATTACTCAGTACTACAGAAGAGATGCCGCACGCGGGGCCCGGAGGAGGCCGGCCATAGGCTGGGCGTGTGGCCACCAGCAAGTTCTGTAAGATGGAGATCATCATCCTCGCCCTGCCCACTATGTTCTGTAAATGAGGGGCGCTGTGCCAAGAAGAAGGATAAATACGATGCGGATTGTTTGAAAATTAGCAGGTGCTCTAGAATGTAAGTGCGGGGTGCTTCATGAGCTAGGGAACAGGGCAGTTTTGATGGGGGAAGGGAGCAGGGGCAGGGCCTGGAGTGGGCTCAGAGGAGGGGCAGGCAGAGGCAGCAGGGGGCCTCCAGGCAACTGCAGGGAGGTGTGTGCTCAGCGGATAGAAGGAGAGCTTGCAACCTTGAAACCAGTTTCCAGGCAGTAGGGCGTGGTGTCATGGGAGAGTACGTGTGGCTTCCCAGGGCCTGACTTTTCCCTCTGCCCTGGAGAAGCCGTCAGCCAAATGCCCACTTGGCTGGGATGAGCCTTTGGCACCTGCCCTGCCTGTCTTCTTTCCAGACAGGTGTAGTCACTCACCTGCCTGCACCTGTGGGCTCTCGGCTCCCCACACCCTGACCTGGCCCCTGTTCTGGCAGGGAGCATACTAACCTCACCTCGGAGTCAGGTTCTCTTTCCATGAGCTGTTGGCTGGAGCCCGCAGGTTCTCCTGCCTGCCTTGCCTGGATACCAACCCCTCCGGTTCTTTCTGTTCCTTAAGCTCATGTTTGAACACCTGTTGGCTGTGGGGCCATCTGATGGCTTATCCCCCAGTGCCTCCTGCCCCTTAGAGGTCCCTGATGCCACTGGGAAGGTTAATCATTGTCCCCACCCCCGACAGACCAGGCATCAGAAGCTCAGAGGAGGAAGGGCCATGAGAATTCACTCCAGCCTCTGTGTGTACAGAGAAGGACACTGAGGTTCAGGGAGGGAAAGTGACCTGCCCAAAGTAATCCAGCAAAGTCATGGCTAAGAAGCGCCAAGAGCTGGGGCGCCTGCGCGGCTCAGTCGTTGAGCGTCTGCCTTTGGCTCAGGGCCTGGTCCCAAGGTCCTGGGATCGAGCCCCGCATCCGCGGGAAGCCTGCTTCTCCCTCTCCTGCTCCCCCTGCTTGGGTCCCCTCTCTCACTGTGTCTCTCTCTGTTGGATAAATACAATCTTTAAAAAAAAAAGAAGACGACGACGACGACGTGCCTAGAGTCTGGACCTCTCATTCCTGGCCCAGAGCTCTTTCCACCTCCCTAGGCCCTTGGTTCTCTGTGTCACAGAGTCCGTGCCACCTCGGGGCCCCATCCCTGCAAGGGGACCTGACAGGACCCAGGCTGGCCTCCGTGGCTCAGGAGCACCCTCTGCAGCCACTCAGGATCCAGGCACATGCAGGGCTCTGGGTGAGTTGTCCGAGGCCAGAAACAAGAGCTTGCTCAGGGCTCACAGGCCACGTCTAGGGCTTCAAAGAGGCCAGAGCTGCTCATGCCCATATGTGGGGCCCCTTCCCTCTCCCTGAAGCCAAAGAAACCGGGCTGGATCTCTTCTCACCCTCCTTTGATGTAGTCAAGAAACGTGCACTCGGACTCCACAGCAAAGGAAAGCAGCGTGACCTTGAAAACAAGAGGGAGCTTGGTCAGTACGGAGCTCAGGGCTGCAGGGAGACGGTTTGCTGAAAGCGAGGAAGCACGCAGCACCCTCCAGGTCTGCCTACTCCACTGCATGCGGCCCCACAACAATCCCACGAAGCACAGCTATTATCCCATTTCCTAGCCAAGGAAACTGAGGTTCAAAGAGGTGATGATGCAATGTGCCCAAGGACACCGCCAGGACCTGGCCGAGTGAGAAGCGAACTCGGGTCTGACTCCAGAGCCTGCCTTTTTGACCTGGATCCCCACCTGCATCCTAGCAGGGCCCGGTCGCTGTTCCTGGAGGCACCAGGGCTCAAACCAAGAGCGCAGGTTTCCTCTAAGTGGCTACCAGCATGGAGTGTGGAAGGCGAGAGGGTCTTCCCAACACAGGCCTACCAACCTGCCAGTGCTGACAAGCTCCCTGTCCTGCTAACGATCCATCCTAAAACATGCGCTTAGATCTTCAATCTCACTGTCCCAACTCACCCCTCCGATGTCTCTTGATCTCTACCTTCTCAGACCCAAGACCCCCACAAGCAGCGTGTTCTTGCCCGGGAGGTAACTGACCTGGGGCCCCCTCTCCAGAGCAGATGCCTTTTGACCTCTGCCCTGTGACGGCTTTGGCATTGACTGTGCCTAGACAGGCAGCTACCTGGCAGCTCATTACAATAATGATTTAGGATCGCGGAGACGAGTAAGTGAAAGCCTGGCTACCAAAATCAATTACATGAGGCAAGATTGGGGCAGAGGATCTTCTACCTGTGTCAGAGAACTCTACCCTAGAATTTGGGGAACCCCCTACTGTATGTTTACCAACTCTCTGGGTAGGCCAGGGAGGGCCTCTGCTTGACATCAGCCCAAATAACGGGAGGGTCTGTGGGTGCTGTGCTGGGCCCTGGAGACCCTACCTGCTGTGGTTCGGGTGTTAGGCGCCTGGATGGACAAAGCCTCCTTTCACTAGGCATGGACTATGGCAGTGGCCTCTACCCTGACCAATGATCGCCAGACTCCCTGGGGAGCTCTGAAAACCTCTTGCAGCCTGGGTGAGGACCCCAAACCAATTACATCAGTTTTGGGGGTAGGCCTCTGGCCTTGGATCATTTTTTAGCTCCTCACATGAATCTAACCTGCAGTTGGGGTTTGAACCCCACTCCCCACCCCCCACCACTCCCTAAGGCCTTGGGATGAAGTAATTCCCTAACTTGCCTGACCATATGGATTCAGCCAGGGCCTTGCTGCTCAAAGTGTGGCCCCTGGAGCAGCAGCAGCAGCATCACCCCGATGCTAGTTAGAAATGCGGACACGCAGATTCTTGGCATTTTAACAAGATCCCCCAGAAGATTCCGCACATAGTAAGTAGGTATGAGAAGCACTAAACACAGCTTCCCGGGCCCCAGCCTCGGCCTCCTAAAATGGAACCCCAGGGAACTGGACTGGGCATATGCATTTTAATAAACATCCTGGGTGGTGCAGTCGGTTAAGTGTCTGACTCTTGATTTCAGCTCAGGTCACGATCTCTGGGTCATGAGATCGAGCCCCACATTGGGCTCCACGCTCCACGGGGAGTCTGCCTGAGATTCTCTCTCTCCCTCTCCCTCTGCCCCTCCCACTCATGTGAGAGAGCTCTCTCTCTCTCAAATAAATAAATCCTAAAAAAAAAAAAAAAAGCGTCCTGGGCCCTGACTGATTTTTTATGGTGAAGATTAACCTGAGACAAATCATCAAATCATGTCCCCTCTCTGGGCCTGTTTCTTTATCTCCAAGAATACTGAAGGAAATCAGTGGTTTTCAAACTTTTTTTTTTTAGCTTTACATCTGAGATTTCTCAGCTGGGGAAGGTGCTGCCTCCCCTAGGGGCATGGGAATGTGTGGGAAAGTTTCGGGGGTCTGCCAGTGACTGCAAACTATGGGTAGTAACGGGCTGAGGCCAGGGGTGCTAAGCACCCCACAATGCACAGGTAAGTCCCGGGAGATGAAGAATGATCCTGTCCAAAATGCTGACAACATTCCCACTGAGAGACACTGCGGCTTTGGAGGAAGCAAATATTATTCCAAGCCTGACTGGGAAGCTCTTACAATTCGTCTCCTTTGAATGAGCAGAGAGAACTTTGCAGTTTACTGGAATGTCTCTCGAGCTCTCTGTCACAGTCAGCCAGTGTAGTAAGCAGGGTAGGGATGATTTATTAGCCCCATTTTACAGATGGAGAAAATAGGCTTCCTCAGAGGAATCCCAGAGCTCCCTGACTAGGACCTCTTCTAGGTCTGGAGTTGCAGTTTGCTTAAATCTAATGACTAAGTGTGGCTGCATTAGCTGACGGGGCTATGGACCTCTACAGCAGGGAGGGACAGGAAGGGTACAACGCTGAATGTATTTGCAGGGCAAAGATGCTGGCTTGTTCGAGAAATGCACTGTGGGCTCCACCTCAGGGCCCTTGCACATGTTGATCCCTACAGCTAGAATTCTCTTTCCCCAATATCCTCAATACTTGCTCCCTTACCTTCTTCGAATCTCTGCCCAAACATCACCTTCTCAGAGAAGAGCTTTTCCTTCCCTACTTAATATAAAATAGTAGTTTTGTCTCTGGCATTCCCTAACCCTTTACCTTCTTATACTTTTTTTCCCACAGCAAACATAACCACCTGACAAATATAGGTACATGTATGCATATATTTTTGTTTTCTGTATCCCCCACTAATATATAAGTACCAGGAAGGCAGAGATTTGGGTCTGTCTTGTTCCCAGCTGTATCCCTCATGCCTAGAACACGGTAGCACTCAGGAAAGGTTTGTTGGATAAATGCATGAATGTCCTGAAGATCAGCCCCCCAGAAGCCACAGGGCTCGTGTAATCCTAGGATCGTCGTGGCAAACAGGGGCATCGCCGGCTGCCAGCTCTCAGTTTAACTGTAGTGCTGAGTGCCATCTCTAGCTCTGTGACCTTGGTTGTGCCTCTCTGGCTCTGTGACCTTGGGTGAGTCACTTCCCTGCTGGCAGCCTTGGTTTTCCTCTTTTATGACGAGGGGATGATAATGTCTGCCTCTCAAGGAAACAACCTGTGAAAAGCACCTCTGTGGGGAGTTCCCCAGAGTTAAGGGCCCAATGCACACTATTGCTTTTCCTCTCCCTTTCTGCAGGAAGTCCCCACGGGAGTTTCTCTCTGGGATTTCTCATTCTGTATCAGCGCCTGTGGTGTGGCCCGTCTCCTGTCTCCCGTCTACTGTCTACCCTGGCCACCCCCCAACCCCCCTGGGGCTGTTGCTCCATCCGCCCCACCCGTCTCCACCCCCAACTCTCCAGGTCTGGTTCCCACACCCTGCACGAGCCCACACAGACACACACGACTCCTGACGCGGACCTAGCTCAGGCCTCAGGATGTTTACACCTGGCTGCAGAGAGGGGTGTGGCTACTCACGGTGCCAGAATTCACGTATTTCTTTTTCTTCATTTTCTTTTTCGGGTTTACCACCTGCAGGAAAAAACAGGTGCCAGGTGAGGAGCATTTCTAAGCAGCCAGGGGTGGGCTCCCAGAGCTTCTAACGACCCCTGGGTATGGCTCGGGCCCCAGCAAGCAGAATGTGAGGTGTGAAGACTGGGGGTCCAGGGGAGGAGGGCCCGGGAGGTTCTGTGAGAGACTGGCATTTAGATTTAGACCCAGTTCCACGACCGAACACACCAGGAATAATATTTATTTAACCTTCTTCCCCACTGCTCCCCCAAACACACCCTCCACCCAATGCAGCCAAAGGAGGCTCCATGTCGCAAAGGGGCCCTGTCTGTGCCTGCCCTTGTATGTTGGCGCAGGCTGCTTCCCGCACCCCGAATGCCATCTCCTCCACCCTCCACCAATTCCCATCCTCCCTGCTCCTCCTTGGAGATCCAGCCCTAGGGCTGCCCTGGGGCCTTTGGGGCTCCCCTTTCCACCCACCCCCAACTACAGTCTAGTTAGAACTTCCTTAACTGTTCCTCATGTGAAAGCTTTCGTTCCAAACCAGACCTGTCATTGGAGAATATATCACAGGCCTAGGTGCATATTTAGCAGATGCTAAAAAATCACTTGTGGGGGGGCTTAACTCAGTGGTCTCAACTGCCCGCCCCCCACCTCCGATATTCGGCCATGTTTGGAGACACTTTGGTTGTCATGACTGGGGGAGAAGACAGAGGCCAGGGACGCTGCTGAACATCAGGCCATGCACCGGGCAGCACCCCCCAACCGCACAAAGCATCTTCGAGTCCAAGATGTGAGTAGCGTGGAGGCTGAGGAGCCACGGGGCTCGTGAGCCCTCCAGGCGGCTTTCACATAGGCTGCGTCTGCACTAGCCGGAAGCCTCACGGCTCTTCTGTTTCCATGGGGGAAGGTCAGGCCCTACCTTGCCCTCATCCCCCGTCAAAGGAAGCAAGCAGGTTGAGTTCCACATCCGCTCTGTCCTCTCCACATGTCTGGTGAGCTCATGGCCCTCCCCCCCTCCCCGTTCTTTTGCTCGCAGGGGTGGCCAGGCGTCAGCAGAGGCCTCTTCTGTCTGAACGAGTGTTGATACCCATTCCTGGAGATCAGGAAACTCAGGCCCAGGGACAGAAGTGATTTGCCCAAGGTCACGAGGTGCTCTGCGTAGTGACAAAATCAGAAACCAGGTTCCTGCCCCGAGGTCAGTGCCGCCTACCTGGGTGTCACCTTGATAACAAATACAAACACATTCCTTCACAAATATTTATGGGGTGGGAGTGGGAGACACCAGTTCCTCTCTTCTAGAATCTTCACTCCAGTTGGAGAAAGATTTGTCCTCAGGAGACAGAGGACAAGAAGCACCAAAAAAGGGGAGCCAGAAACGTGAAAGGAGTTGGAGGAAGGAAGGACCGTTCCTGGCCGAGCATCAGCGAAGGCCCCCCCCAGGACAGGTGGCGCTGAAGGCAGGTGCTGAGGGCAGGAAGGGTCTGGGCATGGGGAGCTGGAGGGAGGGGCATTCCAGTTGGAGGAGATAGTTTGGGGGAGGGGGGATGGCTACAGAACTGGACGGCAGAACCACAGGGTGAAAGAGCAAACTGGGCTGGCTGGAAGAGAGCCTAGAGTGCCAAGTTAAATGGCTGAACATCACCCAGCAGCCAGCAGGGAACTCTGATGACCTCTAAGCTGGGAGGGGGCCATGATCACCGCAGGCTCTAGGATGCCGGGACCCGGTAGAAATGAGCATGAGGGGAGAAGGAGAGACATCAGGGGCATGTCTACCTGCCTGGTTCTGCCACCTAATGGCTGTGTGACCCTAGGCAAGTTACTTGACCTCCCTGTGCCTCAGTTTCCTCATCTATAAAATTGGAATAAAAAGGACCTACCTTATAGAAAGGTATGGGGATTCAATAGGTCAATATAAGTAAAGCGTTTAGGACATGGTCTGGAACGTAGTGAATACTATGTTAAGTGTCAGCCGCTATTAATTTTTATTACTACCACTACTACCACCCCCACGAGTCCAGCCAGGTGAGAGGTAATGAGGGCCTGGGGGTTGTTGGAACAGGTACTGAGCTATAGCAAAACAGCACTGTCAAGAAGTGACCACAGATCTCGGGCCCGGGGCGGGGCTGCGGGGGCAGGAGGGAAAGGGGTCAGGGGTAACCAGGTAGACACAGAAGGAAGAGCTGGATTTGGGGTCCCAGGTGGGAAGTTCACGTGCGGAGGGCTGGCGAGCTCTGCAGGTGGAAATTGTGAACCTGGGGAGAGAAGCCCAGAACCATCTCAGAGCCCCCACAGACATGAAGGCTGCCCAGGTGATGTGTTCACAGACACCTTTGTGGAAAGTTCCAATGCTGCACGGTTGCCTCAGTGTCCCAATCTGTCCCACGAGGGTGTGGAACTTTGAGAACTGAATACATCTCAAACTTTTATTCCCTAGTGGCCCTCCCAGCTGAGGAGAACAAACATGGACTCCCGGGGGTCTGGGTGTCGCCCAAAGACCTGGCCACAAGCGCATTTCTTTGAAGTCTTCTGTGTTAACCTTTAAATTAGCCTGTATTCCACATTTCCACTCTCTAATTATAACTGTTTTAATATTACAGCCATGTTTTTTTCTCAGATCCTCATGCGAAGTGGGCACTGAAGAAACGCCCTGTTTATTCGGAGGTTTCAAGCACTCCCAGCACACACCCCCACCCCCACCAGCGAGCCTCTCCAGCCCACAAGAGGCCACACCCTGACGGTCCATGTGGGGCACCGTCGCCCCCTGGGGGCCAGGCCAGGAACTTCCCAGCTCCCAGGCTGGAATTCTCAGCCTTCTCCTCTGCTGGCCTCACACCCCCAGGAGCCCTAAGGCCCCCAGCACAGGTCTGGGGTCGGCTCTCCTGTGCAAGCAAGCCACCAAGTGGCTCCCACGGGCCAGGAGCTGTGCTGGCTTTGGGAATACGATAATGAGTGAGACGCCCACCCCACCCTTACGCACCTCATGGTCTTTAAAGGGGTGGGAAGTATGACAAACAGGTAATAATAGCCAGGGGGATGGGGGAGGCAGGGAGGGAGCACTGAGGAGAGCTATTTAGCTCAGACTTTGCGGGTGGAGTGAGTGTGCAACCAGAGAAGGCTTCCTGGAGGTGGAATCATACCCAAAGGGAGTCCCCAAGGATCCACAGGCCCAACCAAGTGAAGAGCAAAGGGGGCCCCAGGGGAGAACCGTGGAGTGAAGCACAGAGGCTGAGCCAGCAGGGAGGTTCAGAGAGCCTCAGAGAGCGTAATAGGGCTGCCAGTCGTGGTGAACAGAGGGAAGGGGCTGGGGCAAGACCCCAGGGGCCTCCTAGGGGTGGGAGGTGTGGGTCTACTTACACACACCCACCGGTTGCACGCAGACTGTAGGTTGCTGGGGCATGGTGCCCATGCGGAGGAGCTTGGACTCCACCTTGTAGGTAAAAGGCCCTGTAGTATCTCAGCTGGGGTGGGGGCGTCATTCTGAATCTCCTCCCTGCCCCGGTGCTTGAACCCCGGCCAGGAGGTGGGTGGGATGCCCAGCCAAAGGTTAAGCAGGGTGGCCACGTGATCAGATTACCATCTAGGAGAAGGCCTCGGATTACCGAGTGGGGATGGAAGGAGGTGGGAAGGCTGTTAGGGGTGCTGTTGCAAAGCTCCCCACACAGGGGGGAGGTGGCGGTGGGGGTGGATGGGAGTGAAGGGAACAAAATGTCAGAGTCTGTGGGTGGTAGGAGGAGTGGGAGTTCAGTTGTGGAGTGGATGCGGGGTGAGGGGCAGGAGGCATCAAGGATGACTCCCCAGGCCCCCAAGATGGCAGCCCAGGAGATGGAGCCAGCTGGCCGGGGGCGGGGGGGGGGATAGCTGTGGGGAGGCTTCAGACAGTGCCTTCAGTGTGGGGGGCTGAGTCTGAGCAGGGGCCAGCAGACAGCTGGACATACGAGTCAGACGCCCAGGGTGACGCCAGGGCCCGAGATGGTCCTTCCTGACTTCAGTCAGCTGGACTCTAGAAAGGCCTTCCAGTGACACTGCCCACAGGGCAAGGCCGGCCCCCCTGGGACTGCCAGGGTTTAATTCCTTCTCTACCCAAGGGTGTTTCCGACGGAGAAAATGAGTCAATCCAACCTTTTTTGCTTTAGCTTGAGAGATCATGGCCTCTTCTGAGCCTGTCAAGTACTTAAAAGCCAAACTCCAAGAGATATAATCCCTTCCCTTGCCTTCCCTAAACATCTCCTTAAAGGCAGCCGGAGAAGGATGGAGCCCGCTTCCCTCCACCTGGGTGGGGGAACTGAAGACAGCCCTTCCCTTTGCTGATGCAGAAAACAAAGCAATTAACTGTGAGGATCAGAGCCCTTTCAAAGAAACGCACCCACGCTCCAACTTCACAATGGCCTTGTTCAACTGAATTCAGTATGTGCTTGGATCATAAGCACCTACCGGGTGCCCCGCGCTGCCCAGGCCCACGTGAAGGGAGGCCCCAGGAAGGGCTGTCCCCCAGCCTGCCCTTAGGGAGCTTCCATCTAGCCAGAACTCGAGACCTGCCCACTCAGAACAAAGACCCAGGGTGAGGGAGGGAGAGTCTGGAGCGGTTCAGACTCGGTGATGGGAGTCAAAGCCTGCTCTTCAACGTCACTAGCTGAGCAGGTTGCTCTTGTAAGGAGAGAGACCATCTCTAGGGCTGCTGTGAGATGGAAATCTCCTGGCACACTGGCACTCAACAGATGATACTGGAAGACAGCAGTGACGTCACGCTCACTAGGGGCCAGGCACTGTTCTAGTGACTTCTTTAATTCTCAGTGTGCCTGGCACAGAGTGGTTCAGGAACTTAGCCCACATCACGTGGCCGGTATGTGGTAGAGTCAGGGTATGAACCCAAGCAGTTATTAGGGTTAGAAGTATCTGCGGTTGGGGCACTGGTTGGCTCAGTCGGTTGAGCACCTGCCTTCGGCTCAGGTCATGATTCCAAGGTCCTGGGATTGAGCCCCGTATCATCATCATCGGGCTCCCTGCTCAGTGGAGAGCCTGCTCTTCTTTTCCCTCTGCTCCTCCCCCCACCCCTCTCGTGCTCTCTCTCACTCTCTATCTCAAATAAATAAATAAAATCTTAAAAAAAGAGAAGTATCTGCGGTTAAGTGGGTCTAGCACAGACTGTGCTGTCCATGAAGCTCACACGAGGGAGAAAGCACGAGACCAGAGTGCTGGGAAGGCCACCAGAGAAGCTGGAAATCAAACTAAATTTGGAAGCTGGGAGGGCATTCCAGGAGGGCGAGCACACACAAGCAAAGGCTCAGTGGCAGAAACCGTCCTTGGAGGGCAACCACTATTATCTCCAGAAAGATTGGGGGCCTTGTCCAGGTTCTCCAGATCCAGATGGAGGCATCCTGAGTCCTGTCCTCTGATTCTTCCCTTCCAGAAACAATAAGATATTCAGCAGGCCCTGAAATTGTTCTGATTGAAGGCAGAGGGCCACCTTGAGCTCAGGATCTTGGATCTCCCCCACCTTCTGCCCCACTGGCACCCCTCCTCGCCCATTTTATTGAAAGAGCGCTTTGTGGGGGCACTAGAACTCAATGATTTGGGGAGCCAGGCAAGCCGACACTGTTTGCCTCTTGATTCTGCCACTTACTGAACCGCGTGTCTTTGGGCAAATTCCCTCAATTCTCTGAGAGTCAGGTTTCTTTACTGTAGAATGGGACAATAAGAGCCATCTCCCAGGAGAACATGCAAAAACCCCAGCCCAGCCCATGGCCCACGGTAGTCCTCAGTGGCCGGGAGCTAGGCATAATCAGAGCAAACCCCAGACTTCGGGTGTCCGCCTTACCTCGTAGATGTTGAACTGGCTCTGCCCGCGGGCCAGCTCCCGGTAACTGGTGGTGAATTCTCCAATGAAGTCGTGGCTGCAAGAGAAGGTCTCTGTGAGATGGTGTGACCCAGGCCACGTACTGCCTCTGCCCATCTCCCCACCTCTCGCCCCTTCCCCTGGCTCCTGATTCTGCCCGGGGCCTGGGCTCCAGGGGCGCACGCCGGCAGAGAGGCTGGGTCTCTGGGAAGAGTCCAGTGTCCCCCGTGGAACAGGAAAGCCAGTGGTCACCTAGCAAAGAGTGGGGCCCCAGAGAAGGGGACCCACTTCTACTTGAAGTCTTGTTTGAACAAAACCAGCAGTGCTGGGGCTTTCAGGGACGACCGGAGAAATTTAAATATGAAATGAATATTAGATGGTATTCAAGAATTATAGTTCAACGTGTCAGGTGTGATAATGGCACTCGAGGTTCTGTAGGAAAATGTCCTTATTTTTTTAGACGTTCTCAATGAGATATTTAGAGGTAGAAATGCCTTGATGTCTGTAACTGAAACTACGTCAGCAAAACAGAGCAAATGTTGCAACACGTAACACTTGTTAAATTCAGATGATAGGCTTAAAAGCCTTCATTAAACTCCTCTTTTTCTGTGTATTTGTCATTTTTCCAATAACGGTCTTTGAAAAGACTGTCTGTGTCATGTCCATCGAGGTAGCTGGAGGTTTTCTGCAGTGGCCACGCCTTCTAGGACTCTGCCCCCACAGTGTGTGTTCACGTTAAGGGGAGCCAAACCTGTCCACAGGTGAACCCCTGTCTCCCCTGCAGCTGGCTGCCTTTTGCTGTCCTGGCCCCGGGAAGAGGCAGCCTGGGGGGCCTCCGGACCAGCTGGAGAGTGAGGCCCGGGAGGTGTCCCCGGGGCCTGGCCCTGCCTGGAGCCCACTCTGGATTTTGACTACATATTTATAGCTCTCAGCACTCAAACTACGAGCTCCTTGATGGCAGGACCCTGTGACTGGTGGCTGTCCCCAGTTTTTTCCCTTTACAGCACCCCGTATCTGCATCACAGACTTGAGAGGTACAGATGGAGATTATGGGGCTGAAAGCCCCCTTACAACACCCCTATTAGTGCCACAGAATGGAGGGAGTCCCAAAAGTCAGGACGACATATTGGGTGTGGTCCAACAGACAAGTGGGAGCCAGTGAGGTTTCTGGACCAGAGCCAGGAGAGACCCATTCTTGTCCTCATCTATGAATTCCCAGGGACACTGCTCCTTGGGGGCACTTACATTCACAGACAGGGAGGGTACTGGCCTCCCACAACCCGAGTGAGAAGTACCCTCCTACCGGCCAGGCTTGGCCCAACTCAGGTACTGGCTCCAGGGACCATTCATGTGCATCAAAGCTTACCCTTCCCATAGCCCACTCCCTCAGGGCCTGTTCCCTGCAAACAAGTTCCTTTGATACACCAAGGGCCTCCCCACTAGACTGGGGGGAGTCCCTGAGGGCTGAGCTTGTCTTCTGCACCTCGTTCACCCCACAATGCTTAGCCTCACACAGAGAACATGAATAAATGGTCAGGGGGTCACTCGTATTTGTACGTTTAAATAGGCACATTTCAGAAAATCCTAATTCTCCCAAATGTGGCGAGGTTTTAGGCACTGGGTTGGCTGCTAGGCAGCTATTCGAGGAAAAGAGGCCCCTGGAACCATGTCATGCAGGACAGAGAGCCTCTGGTGCCTCAGTGACGCTGGGCAGGGACAAGCCACTGGGGCAGCAGACCCCCACCCCTGGAAAACCCAGGCTCCCTCACCCCCAGAGCTGCCATGGGCATAGCTCTCCCCATGTGAGGGCAGGGCCCAACCATCCCTTGGGGCTGCCCTCATCCCCGCTCACCTTCTACCCTCCTGCCTGCTTACCTGCCATCCCGATCCCAGTCGTACACCTCCACCTTGATGGTCCTGCAAGGCAAAGGGCCCGTGGTGGGGTGGGCTTGCCTCGGCACCTGCGTGGCCCTGAGACCAGGCCCTTCCCAGGCTCCTGGGCCAGAAGCGTGTGCAGAGACACCCACCAGGTTCCAGGGCCCTCGGTGGAGACGCAGCAGCCCAAGAGACAAAGGAACGATCTTGAAGCCTTTTAGCAAAGGTCTTAGGGACAGAGGCATCCCGAAAGCTGTGTAGGGACTTCCCCGAGTTTCAGGGAGGATGTGGAAAAACAGCCTCAGATTTCAGTTCACACCACCTTCTCCTTAGCCACCCCAGATGGGACACAGGTCCCAGGATGAAGCCATAGTGTGGATTTATCAAGGGTGGGGGCACTACGGTGGGAGTGTGGGATCTCAGCCCAGAGCCGGCTGGGCTCTCCTGGGGAGGGGTAACAAGACTGCGTGCTGGTGGGACCCCAGTCGGAGGAGTCTGAGCGGTGGGGGACCAGCCCCGCCCGGCAGGAAGGGGCCCAGGGCCCCCCTGAGTCAGGGACGGCCTGCTGAGCTTTTCCATTGCCACGACTGGCTCCTGAGTGAGGGTGTAATTATCTTCACATTTTAGCCTGGCTGCTTTAATTAGTTTGTTTTGACTCCTGTGCATGGGGCTGGGCTTTGGGAGCCCATTTTATTTTTAGCCCGTTTCCATGGCAACAGGCTAGCCGACCAGAGGTGGGAGGAGGGAAGTGGAGGGCTGCGGGTTAACCCTTGGTGCCGGTGGTCCTCCAGGGAGGCCCAGGGAAGGCCGAGCTGCCAGGGTCCTCCTGCGGGCTCAGGGTCCCGGGAGGCGCCAGAGGCGTGGGCAGCAGGGGTCTCCAGCCGTCAGTCCTAAACGGGGCTCGCAGAGGCAGCCGCCTGGGCCGGGCTTCTTCTAGTCGCAGATCGTCTCGCCCGGGGCCGCGGCCCGTCTTTGCGGGTGTGCGAGGAGTCGGCCTCTGCGTGGCGCGGCCCCCAGCAGGAGGCGCTGCCTCCCCGCAAATGAGCCTCCCCCGGGCCTCGGGGCGGGGTGCGGATCCGCCCGCCACAGAGCACCAACTGTTCCCCAGGAAGGAACGTCTGGGAGGCCGTGCACCAGCCGGGATTTTTGTGACCGCACTGTTAAAATGGGGGCAGGCATGGAAGCCCGTCATTTCAAGGAATCCTCTAAATTCTTGTGAAAAACAAAACACCGTGTCTCTCTGAAGTGAATTGTGGCGAGAGAAAAAAATCTAGGCCCCTGAAGGTGGGCTGGTGAGGCAGATGCTGGCATGCAGATGCTGTGGGACCTGGAGAGGTCACTGAACCTCTCTGAGCCACAGACCATCTTTTTCAAGGAGGGATAATAGCGGCCTTGCAGAACAGCTGCAAAGCGGAGTCTCGGAGCCCACCTGACGCGCAGGGGGGTCTCGGCAAAAAGGCCTCCTCTCCGCTTTGGCATTCGGCCACACTTGGATTGCTTTTCATAGGAAATTTACTTAAATCAGGGACACTCCTGCCTGGGTACCTGGGCTCCGCGACTTCCAATTCCTGGAATGACACGGCTGGAAGTGACCTCCATGTCATCAAAGCCTGGCCACCTGGCCGATCACCAAGGAGCTTTTCAGACACACACAGCCCCAGGTCCAGTTCCCGGCGGCTCTGGGCAGGGCCCAGGGATCTAGTTTAAAGGCTTCCCAAGCAGCTCTGCTGTGCATGTTCATTTTCAGATGCGGAAGCTGAGCCCTAACACATGCACCCAGGGTCACAGAGCTGGCGAGGGTAGGAGCCAGGACCCCGCCCCACAATGCCAAAGTCCCCCAGTCCTTCCCAGAGCCATGCGGCTCTGTAGGGGACTTTCAGGGGACCTCAGCAAAGGAGTGTCTCTCCTGAGACGGCCAACACCAGCCCCTCAGGCAACTGGATCAGTGACAGCCACATGCTCAGAGGCTGTAGGAGGACCCCAGTTACGGCCACAGCCTTGGATACCCCAAAAATCACTAAGGAGTTTTGTTTTTTTTTTAATCCCAGGGCCCGAGGGCCTGATTTAATTGGGCTGGATAGTACTCAGGCTCGGGTAGTTTTGGCAAGTCCCCTGGCTGATTGGAATGCACGGCCAGAGCCACCGACCTTCTCTAGAGGAGAGTGCTGGGTTTCCACCCTGGTTGCACACTGGATCCCCTGGCGCGTGTTAGCAATCCTGACCCCAGCGCCTCACCCCGGAGGTTCAGCATCAGTTGTTCTGGGGTACAGCCTGGGCAGGGGGACTATTAAAAGCTCCCTGGGGAATTTTAACTTGCAGCTGAGGTTGAGACCCCTGGGTGTGAGATTCCTGTGCAAACTCAGCCCGGCCGCAGCAGAGGCTCCAGGGACGGCTGCAGCTTGGGGTCAGATGAGCTCCGAGGCTGCAGCCTCCAGCACCCGGGGAGGAGGTGAGAGAAATGGTGCCCAGAGCCTTCTTGCAGCGGCAGAAGCCAGACACAGCTCCGACTACTCTAGGGACAGCTCTGTGCCCCTTGTGGGCTGTAGGCACAACCCCTTAGCACAGGCCTAATGAAGGCTCACATCAGACCAACTGTGACCTCTGGGGATGGGACCCTAGAGGAGGGGCTTCTGGGTGTGGCACAGTGGGCCTCTGCTACCCACAAGATGAACATCTTATTTGGCATTAAAGGGTCAGAACACAGAGCCCCTAATCTGGAAGGCAGTGAGGGGGCAAGAGAAGGCTGCAGGTACCGTACCAGCTGCGTAGCCCTGTGCAATTGGCCTCCCCCCGCCCCGGGGGGACTCTGTTTACCCCTCTGTAAAATGGGATAATCGCATCCACTTTGGCGTTGTTGTGAGAAGTCAACTACATCATTCACATGTCATTCACACCAATATTGGACACATGTTCTTTTCCATCTAAAACACTCCAGCCTTTCTTCCAAGCCCGTCTTCCACACAATTGCTATTCACCATGAAAACGTCAGCTCCATGAGACCAGGGAGTTTGGGTTGTTTTGTTCCTTGCTGTATCTTCAGCTTCTAGAACAGTGCCTGGCATATAGTAGGTAATATAAATATTATTAAATATCCATCACCTGACTGAGATTTCACGACTTTGTGAAGCTACCATGCAGTAACAATTCACTCCTTCCACAAAATCACAAAGGGAAGCCCGAAGTGTGTGTGGCTTTCCCCACATCACACAGGGGCTTGGCTGGGAAGCCAGGCCTGGGGCTGGGAGCCAGTGTCCTGTGGGCCTCTGGATGCCTGGGGCTGCGGTGACGGAGCTGGGTCTGTGTGAGCCTCAGCAGGCCAGCAGGGCTGAGGGACGCCCGCAGGCTTCCCTCTCGGCACACCCGCACACCCACAGTTCTATCTATAGTCTCCTCGGAGCAGAGCTGCCCGTCTGCCTCCTAATGAGCCTCTCCAGGGCTGACAGGTCCCCAGGGGTTGGGCTAAACTGACTGAGTCAGCCCAACAGTCCTAGAGGCTTCAGGGAAGAAGAGGGGTGTCGGGCCTCACTGGGGGGCAGGCAATGACACTGGATGGCGGGGCCCCGTGCAAGCCCAGCCATACTGCAGAGGCTTTCCCTCCTCAGTCTGCGTTCAGCTGCTTCTGCATGTGTCAGGTGGTCATACGTAGTGGCTGGGCCCCCTCCCAGGACTTAGCACATGGTGGGGTTCAAGGGAGAAGTATTTGCCTTCTCCAGCAGGCCCTCAAAAGTGTAAAGCTCCTGGGATGTGAGAGCCCCCAATCATAGGGGGATCCTATCCCCTCTCCAGGGGAGGACCCAGGACAACTTACTCTCTTCCAATCCACTCATTCAACATTAAGGTGTGAGTGAGGGAGAGCAGTCTGACCAGGAGCATCTGGCTCAAGGGGGAATAAACCCTCAAGTTACAGAATGTTCGAGGGCAGAGTAGGGGGGCTTTAGGAAACGCTGGGGAAGTGCTTCTTATCATCACCCACTTCACCCCATGGGAGGGCTGCTCTGTCTCTGATCTTGACATTAGCTCCTCTGACTCCAGCTCTGCTCAGCTGGCTCGCTTGGGTTTGGACTGGAGACACAGCAAAGGCAGGGGAGACCTCCACCTCTGGAGAAGGCAACTTCTGGAGAAGGGACATGTACCTTCTCCTTGCTTTGGCAAGATACATAAGCTCCAATCCTCTGTTTCCCCGCCTGTGAAATGGGCATGTCACTAGGACCCAACTTCTAGGGTTGCTGTGAAACTTCAATTCGCAAAAGAAGATAATGTATTCAAACCAATTAGGGCACAATTTGATCCATGTCTGGAAGACTCGGTAATCTTAACTGGTTTCCACTCCCATCATTCCAAGTAAACTGTCCTTCTTCACAGCTCCCTGCTTCTCACCCTCCCGGCCCTCTTCTTCGTGGTAGGAGTTGATACTTCTGATTGGATTCTCCCCTGAGCCCAGGCCCCTGCCCCCAGCTGCCTTCTCCAGGTTCCCTCCCAGCGCTCTGACCATCTCCTGGTCTCTCTCCTGCTCCCGACCCGTGCAGGGCCTCGGGCACCTCACCTCTGCCAGCTCTCTGTCCTCTCCCCTCGGCAGAGCACCACCGTGTCTGTCCCACAGCCCACTCTAGCTCCCTGTCACCCTTCCATTTCTGCCTCTCGACCCCAGCTCCAAACACAAACGACCTCTACGTCCCTTTCACCCCCAGATATGGGTGATGGCAAGGCCTTTGAGTCTTCACCTCCAGGCTCAAGGCCTGCCCCGAGTCCCTGGGCAAGCCCTCCACCAAACGTGCCCCACTCACACAGGTCTTAGCCATTTGGCGGCCGCAGAGCGTGAGGGTCACGAATACAAATTCTCTAGCCAGCCTGCCTGGCTCCAAATCCTGGTTCTACAATTGACTGGCAATAAGATCATACGTGAGCCACTTAAACTCTTTGGGCCTCAGTTTCTTTACCTGTAAAATGTGGGTAGTATTAGCATGTTTTCAGGGGAAATACTAATTGTTGGGAGAATGAAATCAGTTCATATACATAAATTACCACAGAAGTGCTACAGGAAACTTTGCTATTATTCTTATTTTTATTCTTATTCTTATTCTTACCTGTCTGTCTCCCACTCTGGCCTGGGAGCAACCTAACAGGCAGGCTTGGGTCTGATGTTCACTATCCCCACAGAACCCAACATGGTGCCCGGTGCCAGGCTGGCTTGGAAGACACGGCTGCTGGATTAAACTGAATGTATTTGTGAGCTTCAAGAGGTACCTCGGGGGGAGAGGAAAAGTGGCTTCGTTTTCCTGCACAAACCCCTCCCTCTGCTGCCCTGAGAGGGCCTCCCGGACGCTTGCACCTCCCAAGTGGCTGTTGGGTACATAGGTCACCCTAGAGCTCAGTGGCAGAGGGGCCGCGTGACATGCCTGGGCCCCTCCATTAACACCACTGTCAGTCACGTCACAGTCAATCTGTTCCCGGCTGTGGAGAAGGGCCTGAGCTGCCTGGCCAGGCTGGAGGGAAACCAGTCTGGGGCTCAGCCTGCGAGGGGGGAATGGGGGCCTCTGGAGGTGTTCCCCACCAGCTGTACCCTCACCTCCACCGGTGGTTGAACAGTGAGCCCAGGCCTCTGAGCCCGGCTGCCTTCCTCACTGTCCCTGACAAGGCTGGGTTCTCAGGGTGCAGTGTTGTCAGGGGTCAGCTGGACCCCCAACAACCTCTGGGTAGTGGGGCCAGAGATCCCAATTCCTCCCACCCCGTGAGACTTGAACTGCTACGCTCTCCCATCCCCCAATCTCGAATCCCCCTCCATCCCTGTCGCCTCTCGTTATCCCAATCATTCTTCCAGCAGCCAATAACCGCCAGCACCTCCCAGCCTCCCCCAAGCCTCCCTCACACGGTACCGCTCCAGCCAGACTGTCCTCCCACTCTGCAGGCCCCCCGGGAGCCTCAGGACCCGGCCGGACGTGTAACCAGGCTTTGTTTGGCTGGAATGCCTGTTTTTGTCTCCAGTCTCATTTTGCACAATTATTTAGCTATCTAAAATGCAGATGTGTGCACATCTGAGCTCCCTGTGGTCAGACTAGAGGCTCCCTAGAGATGGAAACGCGGCTAAATTCCCTTGAATCCCACACAACTGCAGGCGAGGCGTCGAGCACATAGTAGGTGCTCAGTGACCACCTGTGGAACAGACGGGCTGATCAGTCCCCGCTAAGAGGCAGGAAAAGGAGCCACCTCATCTCCTGGATCAGCAACCTACTAGGGCGGCCTGAGGGTTTCCTGGAGGGAGACAGGGGTGTCTGAAGGCCATCTGTTCTGTCATTCTCACTGCACTGCGCCACACTTACCCAGTCAGGAGCCACGGTGAGCAGGCCCAGCTCGCTCAAGGCTTCCCCAGGGAGCCCTGGAGCGTCCCGTCCCGACTGGCAGCTCATCCACTGGCAACCGTGATCTCCGGGAAAGCAGGCCAGGTTCTCGTGACTTCACACAGACCGACGCCATCACACGGCACCCATTTTACGTGCCCCCCACTCCCCGGCACTCAGCACAATATGTAATTACATGTTTCTTTGTGTGATTATCGGATTAATGTCTGCCTCCCCGACGAGAATGTAAACTCCACAAGGTTGGGTGAAGGGTGAAGACTGTGTGTTTGGTTTCCTGCTGATTTCCCGGGAGCTAGTGCAGGGCCCGGCATATGGTAGGAAGTCAATCAACGTTTGTGGACAAAATGCGGGATTTGGTATTTTATGCACACCAGGGCTTTCTTGTGTGGGTTGTGTCATGTGAGCTTCTAAGCAGCCCTTGAAGGTAGGTGGACGTTTAAAACCCATTTTACAGATAAGGAAACTGAGGCTCAGACAGGTCAAAGCTTGCCCAGGTTGACAGCGCTTTTTAGTCACAGAGCCAGGGTTAGAAACCAGGTCCCCAGTATCTACACCCAACAACCTACACTCAAACAATGGTGAGAGCCGACATGTAATCAGAGCAGGCTGTGGCACATCAAACAAGTTTCCTGAATTTTCTGTACTCCGGCCCTCTCCCCCCATTTATCTTGGGATCCTGACTCCCCAGGGTCCATCTGCTAGGAGCTGGGGTTGGTGTGGCCACCTCTGCCTGCATCTAGAGCCCCCATCCTGTCTCCCCCTGCCCCTCCACTGGAAATCATGACGAGAAAGGCTGCGGAGCTCCAGGCCGGGACACCCACCACCCACCCGGGCTCCTCGGCATCCCATTCCCCCCGCCTGGGGGGGGTCCACACCAGGGGAGGGCTGCCAGACCAGGGGGACAGCGGCAGGGCAGGCTGGGGAGGCAGGCCTGTGAGAAGGAGGCAGACACTGCCCAGGGAGACAAGGGGCAGGGACAGCACTGCTCCAGGGGGCTCCGCCCATACCGCCCGGGGACAGCCGGCACCACACCCGACACCCGACACCCCGGAGGGACAGGTTCTCATCTCACCGGTCATAGTCACCATTGCAGAGCGCTCTCACAGGAATGGAGAAGGTTTGCCAGACTGGGTTTAGGGTGTTCTTCATGACCTCGGTCTTGTGGCAGATGGTGAACCTGGCGAAGGAGAGACGGAAGGTGTCAGGCCTGAACCCAGGGAGGCAGAATCCAGGTCAACAGAGGGGCCAACCGATTAATCTCTGCACTTGCCAGACAGTGGAAGCCAGAGCTTCATGAGATGATGAGCTGCCTGTCACTAGCAGCATCCAGGCACTAACTATGGCCATTTTTTAAAAAGATTTTATTTATTTGAGACACAGAGAGAGAGACAGCATGCGTGTGCACAAGCAGGGGGAGGGGCAGAGGGAGAAGCAGGCTTCCCGCTGAGCAGGGAGCCCAAAGTGGGGCTCAATCCCAAGATCCCGGGATCATGACCTGAGCTGAAGGCAGACGCATAACCAACTGAGCCACCCAGGCGCACCATAGATGGCCATTTCTTGGTGACACTTGAGAGAGGATTCCCAGCAGCAGGTGGGGAGTGTCAGGAGATAATGGGTTCTGCCCCCCTCCCCACCTCTCTGTGTGACCTTGAGCAAGCCGATCCCTCCCCCGTAAACTCAGGGAGTTGGCTGCTGTCAGATGTTCTTCATCTGAGATCCATGGAAGGATCTGTGAATGGGATTTAGGGGTTTGTGAACCCCTGAAATCGGGGTGAACTTGGGTGGGTGACTTTCATATGCTTGCTGTTCCCCTGCCTGGAGCATTGTCTCCCCAGATTTCCATGTTCATGGCTCATCTCCTCACTTCCTTCAGGTCTTTACTCAAATGTCACCCATCTGATAAAAGCACCTGCCCTGGTATAAAATTTATAACCCCCGGTCCCCTGACCCTGACATCCCCCCTAGTCCCCTCCCATGCTTTTTTTCTACTTTACCTGTTATCTTTTGACAATGTTTCTCCTTATTTACTTTATGCTTTGTCACTAAAATGCAAGCTCTGTAAAGGCAAGGGTTTGGTCTTCCTTGATCACTGGTATATCTCTGGTGCCCAGACCAGTGCCTGGCACTGAGTAAGCATTCACTAAATATTTTTTTTTTGGAACTAATGAATAGATGTATGTCTCAGAGGAGAGTTTCCACAGCTTTCATGGGCATTAAAGGCAGTGAATGAGGGCCCTGGCTTAGACAATCTCTAAGACACTTTCGGCTCTCCCAGTCTGAATCCACCAAGCCTGCTTTGCAAACTAGCTTACCCCGCTGGGCTCCAATCCAGCGTCCCTGCCCACTCCCCATGCCATGCCTGCTGGCCCCGTCCCGGCAGCCTGCCCTGCCAACACGGAGGGGTGGCCAGGAGCCAGAGCCAACCTGGGGGTAGAGGCTGTCCCCCTGAGATTTCCCAGCCTCCCCCCGCCCCAGCCACCTCCCAGCCTGGAAAGGTCACCCTGGAAAGTGCCTGGGCCCCGCCCGTGCCCACACAGCCTCTGCCATTTCTTCTCTGGCAATTTTCAAGTCAAAATGTCATTCCTGTCACCGCGGCTCAGCGTTTCTCTTCTCTGCTCCTTCTCGCCCGCCCACTGGCGTGTGGAGATACATGTGGGAGACCTCCCCACACACCCCGGAGCTGGTGACGAGGACTGGAATGGAGAACGGGGACAGGAGGGGGCCATGGCTGCCCAAGTTGGGGCAGGCAGGTAAGGCAGGAAGAGGGAAGGGTTGGGGAGAGGGGCGCGGGGGGCGGGGGGAGCATCAGGAGCAGCCCCTGGGCTTCAAAGGGAGGGAGTCTGCCTGCCTGTGCAGAAGCCGGGCCGGGCTCCAGAGACCTTCTACCTGGAACAGTTACACCCACCCGCTGTGGGACCCTCCCAGCCCCTCCATCTCTTTGGACCCACCAACTTCTCTGTCTCTTCCTTGCCAACCAGTTTCCTGACTGGGTCTTCTGAGCTTTATCAGCCCGATTGCCTCCCTCCATGCTTCTCCCTGGGCCCCGTGTAGTCCTGTGTCTGCTTTCAGACTCTGGGTCTGAAGCTGCTTTCTTTAAGGCCCCCCAAGCCCCTCATCACCAAATCCACAGACCCCTCGACTCCCTGCTGCACTTGCCGTGGGGCCAGGCCCTTCCTTGAGTGGAAATTGTCCCTGCAGACATCTCATGGCTCCAATCAATTCACCCCGACTCCCGCTCAGGGCGTGTGGTGTGGGAGAACATGAGTCGGACTGGTGAGGCTCCAGTCCCAGGGCCCCTCCCGCCAGCCGTGCAGCCCTGGGCAAGTGACGTTCTCTCTCTAAGCTTCCCCTTCATTGTAAAATGGGGCGGGGACCAGTAGCTAACACTGCCGGGCCCTGTTCTAATGACATATATGAACTCATTTGGTCCTCACAGCAACCCTGAGAGGGAGGTGGTAGGATTATCCCCACTGCACCTACCAAGCAACTGAGTTGGGGAGGTTATAGGTGCACTATCCAATATGGTAGCTTCTAGCCACATGGGGCTATTTACCTTTAAATTAATCTAAATTAAATTAAAAATTAAGCTCCTCAGTCACACGAGCCCCGTTTCACAGACTCAACAGCTACATGTATCTAATGGCGACTGTACTGGACGGCGAGACACAGAACATTTCCATCATTCCAGAAAGTTCCATTGGGTTAAGAGACTTGCCTAAAGGTACACAGCAGGCAGCCTGGAGGAGCTCTCTGCCACATTCTTACTCCCAGAGGAGTGACTGGGACAGAAGAAGACAAAGTAGGTACAGGGCCAGCAGGACAGTGCGCGCTCTGAGGATGCTTCCTCCCCTTTCCCTCCAGGACATTCCACTCCCTGGGTTCCGTCACCGACCTTCCTCCTGACCTCTTCCTAACTGGGGGTGTCTCCCAAACCGACTCATCTCTCCTCAAACTCTGGGTAACCACCCTGCCTCCACCAGGTCAGCCTCTGACCTGTGCCCACAGACTGGCCCATCCTTTGGGGGCCTCGGGTGGGTTTCTCCAGCTGCCCTTGCGGACCCCTCCTGGAGAGATCCAGCCCGTGCTTCAAGTGAAACTCATCCCCAAATAAACTCCCATCGCCTACCCCATCTGACCAGCTCCTTTGCCATTTTTAACACTCTGGGTTTCCCGCAGCTCCACTACCGGGGCCACGCTGGTCCTGCCTAGTGAGGTCTGCTCACTGTCCTTTTGTGGCCCTGCCTAGTGAGGTCTGCTCACTGTCCTTTTGCCGGCGTCCTCCCCCTGCATTTCCCCGGCGAGGCTCCGAGGCTCGCCTGCGCTCAGCACCTCCCACCTGTTCACGGTGTCAGTCACGAGTCTCTCCCTCTTCCCTGCCCCCTCGGCACCCATCCTACACAGGCTCTGCTAGAACAATCACTGGCAAACACTTTGCAACACAGCCCTCCCCTGCTCCCACCCCCAAATTCCTCTCTCCTGGCCAGCCGGCCTTCACCTCCAAGACAGACCTGGCCTGACCAGGCATCGCCTCTCTGGAGGAGACCTGTGTGGACATTTCCGTGGGCTCCCAGAACATCACTCGGCCCTTTCCCTCCCTCCCTCAAGTCAAGTCAAAGTCAACAAGAATTATTTAAAGAAATCCTGCTGGGAGTCCTTTGGTGAGACAAAGACTCCTTTTGTTATGCAAATGATCACACCTAATTTCCCTTGTTTTGTTCGTTCAGGTTTTCAAATCGGTTTTCCCTTGAAGTGAAACACACCTCCTCCCTGCTCCTCCCTGCCCCCCCAACACACACATATACACACACACACACACACCCCCAGAGTTCCAGAATCAAGGGGAACTTGGAGGAGGCCTTTCTGCCCTCCGCTCTGGACACACCTGCTTTGCATTCACCTTTTCTCTAGCCTGTTATTCACCTGCTCCTCCCCCATGGACCCCTTTTCTCCCTCTCCTTCCAAACCTGCTTCCAAGTTCCCCTTCTCCAGCCGTGTTTCTCTAATTAACCTCCCTGACCCCACCGCTTCCTGGTTCTGCAGCATCCCAGCTCAAAGTGGCCACAGCTTCCCACAGCTGTGCTGCTTAAAGAGACCGTGGAGGCCGCCTAATCCAACTGGTTCATTTTCCTGATGAGAAAATAGGCCCAGAGAGGGGGCATAACTTGCCCCAGGTCACACAGCAGGAAGCCAGTGGGGTGGACCGAGGTCCCCAGACCCTCAACCTCGAATCTATGCATCTGTGTGCATGGCTGACCTACATTTGCCGACGTGTTGTGTGTGTTTCCGTCATACTGTGGGTGGCTTCCAGATTAGGGAGAGGAGAGGAGGAAATGGGGGCTTTAAAGACGCGTGCGGTTTTGAATGAAGCCTATGGCAAGGTGTGGGACTGGCCTGGTAACAGGGTCCGGATTTGCCATGCCGGGCGTGTGGTAGTTGGGTGGGGGGGCACGTGTGGTAGTGGGGTGTTCAGAGGGCTGCGGGTGGAGGAGGGGTGGGCTGGAGAAATGTGCTGATTTGTGTGGAAGAAGGAAGGGGCTATTCGGAGGAACCCCTCGTTCCCACCCTAGCCGTGCTTTCGCCCACTCCCCTCACCTCCAACATACCTAGCACCCACCATTGCTGAGACCCTCAGAATGGCCCTGCTGGCTTGGGAGCTGCCCCTACCCCCCACCGGTCCCAACCGCGTGTCAGGGCACTACCCAGGAGCCCCGGCTTCTATTGTGAGCAGCAGGCCCAGGCAGCACTGGGAAGAGGCGGGCCCAAGCCCCCCCTGCCTGAAAGGTCACCACACCCCTCCATCCCTGATGCCGGAAAGGGGGTGAAGTGCTGTCAGGGGACTTACGTTCCATCCTCATTGCTTCTGTAGAACACCAAGAAGGGGTCGGACTTCCCAAAGAAATCCTTTTTGTCCAGCTTGTTGGCACAGAACTGCATTGTGGCTACATCCTGGTGGGAAGGAGGGAGAACAGGGGTGTGAGGCAGGAGACGGCTGGAGGGCGCCCCAATCCCCGTGGAAACACAGCCCCAAGACCCTGGAAAACAGGAGGATTCTGAGCACCAAGCTGGTTAAAAGACAGCATGTTACGTTTGCCGTGCACCAACCAAGGGCCAGGCCCTGGGCTAATACTGGGGGGTTCTCATTTCATCTTCAAACAACCCCACTGGGCAGGTCTGATGGAGCAGTATGGGGCAGGGTGGGGGGTGGATTCTGGAGCCAGCTGCCCCAGTCTGAATTCTGGCTCTGCCACTTTCTAGCTGTGTGACCTCAGACAAGGGAGGCAACCCCTTGGAGCCTCAGTTTCCCCTCTGTAACACAAGGCTGATCACAGCACCCACCTCAAAGGGCTATTGCAAGGACTGAAGGCAAAGCACTCGGCAGAGTGCAGGCACATCAGTGTTGATGTGCGTGAGTCCATTGCTGTTTTACCCCGTGGCTCAGAGAGGTGAAGCGACTCACCCAAGGCTACTCTGAGCTTAGTCTGCCAACCTCAGAGCCCTCACTCTGTCCACAGCACCTCATCCCCTCACACACTGGGTGGCTCCAAGAAGACTGTCAAGATGAAACATCACTGGGGCTCCTGGGTGACACAGTCGGTTAAGCACCCAACTCTTACTTTCACCTCAGGTCATGATCTCAGGGTCATGGGATTGAGCCCCTGCGCTGAGTGGGGAGTCTACTTGGGATTCTCCCTCTCCCTCTGCTCCTCCCCTTGCTCTCTCTCTCTCAAATAAATACATCTTAAAAAAAAAAAAATGAGACATCACTTTCACACCCACTAAGCCGTGAGAGGCCCACCAACTCTCTAAGGTAGGTACGGCCCATTTTACAGCTGAGGAGCCTAAGGCTCAAAGCAGGGAGCAACTCCCCCAAGTTCACCAGGCAGAGCCCTGGGATCTGACTCCATGACGAGCTGATGGACCCAGCTAACACAACCCTCAGCCCAAGAGCACAAAGAAGGTAGCCAGGCCCTGGTGAGGATTGCTGGGCCCCTCCGCTCACATGGCCCCCAGTTCCTCAGTTTGCGGCAGCTGACAGGACACTGGGCAGAAATGCCCCCATGTCCTCCTCATCCATCCCCACGTGGCCTCTTCAACCTGAAAGGTCTGCATCCTGACAAATCAGCTGCCAGTTGGCCAGAGCTCAGAGCTTTGTTGTCTAGTCCCTGGGGCCTGGCTTGCCCTTCAGGGCCAGGGCCTGTCAGGAAGTCACCAACTCTCTCACTGCCCCCTTCCTCTCACTGGGGAGGACCATCTCGTGAGATCAGTGTCCTACAGGCCTGTGAGGACCAAAATAGTGGCAGAGATGAAAAGGCAACCTCCCACATGTTTGAAGGACATGGTCAAAGGTTTGGGAGTGGGTATGGTATAATGGTTAAGAATATGATTGCTGGGGGGAAAAAAAAAAGAATATGGTTGCTGGAGCCAGGCTGCCTGCTTCAGCTCCATCCCTTTCTAGCTGTGTGACCTAGAGCAAGTTGTTCACCCTCTCTGGCCTCAGTTTTCTCATCGGTAAAATTGGGTACCAGCAGCCTACTTCATAGGCTTGTTGTGAGGTTGAAATGAGTCAATATGACAATAGTGCTGGAAACAGTGTATGGCGCACACCAGGTGCCTTGTACGTGCAAGGTATTTGCACACTTGCCCCTCCCTGTACACACAATGTGTGTGGCCTCTGTCCCTGCCCCACCCCCACCCCCTCAAATGCCTTCCCTCAAGGACATCTGACAATAGCAAACACAGAGCATCCTTCCCTTCACTCATTCGTTCCTTCAACACACATTTATTAGATACCGTATGTATGGCCAAGTCACTGATCTCCTTATCACCTTTAGCCCTTGAAGTAATCCTTTGTTGCTTTTTTATAAATGAGGGAGCAGGGAGTAGAAGCAGCTAACCTGCCCAAGATCACCAGCTGATAACTGGTAGAGTGGCAATTCAACACGTATGAACTGATTTCAAAGTCACGTCCCTTCCGGCACACCATTCCGCTCCCTGAGAAAGAGAGCGCAATCCAGTTCGGGGGGGCCCCCTTCCCTGGTTTCTTTGGACGGACTCCGGGGCGGGTATGGACGGGAAGGGGCTGGCCTCTGGTTAACCTGGGCCGGAAGTGCCCACTCAAGGGAGGCCCTGAGGAGGGGCAGGGCTGAGGCACAGCAGCCCGCACACAGAGGGGCCCAGGTAATGACAACTTTCATCATGTCTTTCTTCGTGGCCTACGCAAGAAGAAGAAGGAGCTGGACTGGGGGCTTGCAAGGCCTAGGAGCCCCGGGAATCCTAGAGCCTCCAGAGAAACCGAGGACATCAGACCTGGAATAAGAGACCAGCCGACTTATGGAGCACTTACTACATGCAAGTCACTATGTGAAGCCTTCTGTTTACGCACATTATTTCACTGAATCCGCTTAACAACCCTATGAAGTAACTCTGCTACTCTCTCTGTTTTACAGATGAGGAAACTGAGGCTTTTAAATCCTGTCATATGGCCAAGGTCACATAGAGGGTCACCCAGGCGGGGCTTTCTCCCTCAGCCTCCCAGAAAGATCTCTCACCTTCTAAGCCCGCTCCCTGCAGTCACTGTATCTCCACAGTAGAAAGTTCCAATCCCATCCCATGTTGGAGGGAGGGAGCATTTTAAATGTCTCTCTGGGGAGCTCTATCCCTTGGCCTAGAAAAAGGAGGAGGCCTAGGACCAGGTGGCTTCCTCCCAGTGCTGGCTATAGAATTGGTGAGGCCCATGGGAAAGGGGAAACGTGACAGCGGGGCATTAAACCGAGCATAGGCCCTGTAGGACCGCACCACTCATAGGCCCACCAAGCTGGCCCTCGCTCCTTCCCACAGGCGCAGCGGGCTGTGGCACCAGAAAACACTGACCTTCAGACTCTGCTGAGGACAGCAAGGGGGGATAGCCCAGCAAGGCTCCCTGAGTTCTGGGCTCTCAGCCTCAGTTTCCTTCTCCGTAAAGTGATCTGCTGGGCAGGCCGATGACACTGTCCTTTAATGCCAGGCAATTTAGGCTTCCGTGCCGATGGCACTGGGAGCATAAGGGGACAGGGACGACACTGGGGAGGCTGGCACTCAGGGCACAGTCCGGGAGTCCAGACCCCCTCCAGCTTCCCCAGGATACGGCTTGGTTGGAACTCCAAATGTGACCCCACCCATCTGGAGGTCACCTGAATGAACTCAGGCAGGCCACACACAACAACCTGCACTGGTTGACTATAAAATACACACATATATTGAAACAACCAAAACCGATGCCACAAAATCCAGGGGCAAAAGCTCTTATTGTCGCTTCCTAGGGGAACCCCTCAAGGCCCTGCAAGATCAGGAAGGGAAGCAGAACGTAACAGATCGTCACGCCCAGGACCATTCAGCCAAGGCCACGTGTTTGGAGCTGCACTTCTGCCACCTATCCGCTGAGCAGCCTGTTGCAAGCAATGTCACCTAAGCCTGGGTGTTCTCTTCTGGAAAAATGGAGTAGGAATGGGCCCCTAAGACCCCGTCCTGAAGAGTAAAGCAAAGGGCCTTTGTTAAACACCGGTCCACAGTGCAGAGCATGGAGCAGCTGTAAGAATGGGAGCCAACTCTTGTGGAGCGCCATCTACTCTTGGGCTGAACCCTATGCAACCGCCAATGTTTAACCGGTGTCTACCTATGAAAATGGCAGTAGAATAGGGCTCTACCTAATCTGTGCCAAGCAGATATTTTTACGCCTATCAGTTCCTTTAATCCTCTCACCAACCCCAAGAGGTAGGAACTATTATTATTCCCATTTTAAAGATGGGGAAACTGAGGCCCAGAGAGGTTAACACTCTTGCCCGAAGCCACACAGCTATTAGGAGGAGAAGCTGGGATTGGAACAAGACAGTCTGGCTCCAAAGCTTAATAACTGAGATTCCAAATGATGACCCCAAATCATCCCGATAAGTTTAATTATGTTCTGTAGCCTCAGTTTGAGGAGTCAGAGAAGTGTGAAATCCATTTTAGAAAGGCCTCCTCCGTGCAAACTAGTTAAAATTACAGGGGGAAAAAAAAAAAAAGCCTGGCTCTGAAATTCAGCTAACTGGAAAAATCCTCCAGTGAGCCACACCTCATTCCCGCTGATGGCAAATCCTTGAGGTGCTGCTGGCAGCTTATTCTGCCGCTCAACCTGATCTGCCCCCCCGAACACAATCTAGACCCAGAAACATTCACCAAAAGCGCTTTGCGATCATCAGTACTGTTGTGCCACTGTTGAATCCATGGGGATAAAAGAGACCTGCAGTGAGACTTCTAGGCTGTGACCAAGGCAAGCTTCTTCCCTCATGGGTGCGCACCCCTTGGGGAGTCCTTGAGACAAGGCACCGCAGGCTGTCTGGGGACTGTGCTTTTTTTTTTTAATTTTTATTTTAATTAAATGCAATTAATGAACATAGAGTATATTATTAGTTTCAGAGGTAGAGTTCAGCAATTCATCAGTTGCATAGAACACCCAGTGCTCATTCCATCACGTGCCCTCCTTAATGCCCATCACCCAGTTACCCCATCCCTCCACCTCCCTCCCAGGGACTGTGCTTTTGAAGGTGGCTCTGAGTTATGTCAATAGTCATATCACACAGACAAGGCTTTGACCGCTCCCCTTAAATGTAGGTTCGTGAATGGACCCCAGGAAGAGTCTGGGGAGTGGCAACAGATGGACTGGGCCAGCAGGATTAGGAAGCAGCCAATCCTGGCTAAGTAAGAGGTCCCGCTGTTTGAAGCCTCAGCTGGAGGGTGGGGCTCTCTGTGCACGTGAAATGCTCTTCCCAAACCAGAAGCATCTCTGGAATCAACTGTGGAGAAGATAAACAACTCCTGCAATATATAATTTCCAGCAATTTCTGCCTTTTTGCCCTATCTTTTTAAAAAACATATTAAGTTCTTCTAAAACAGCAGGATTGCCTCAATTTGTATCTTTCCGCATGTTA